GAGGATACAGTTTTCTTTCCAGTTTCTGGTCAACTGCCTTGCACAGAGGCTGAGTGGACCTTTAAAAATGGCCCCCATGCTAGGTGTGGTGGGGTTAGCCTTTAATCCCAGTGCATAGAGGCAAAAGTAGTCAGTCTCTGTGAGTTTGGGACCAGCCCGGTTTATACTGGATTCCAGACCAACCAGGGATACATTGTGAGACCCTGTCTCCAAACAAACAGTTGGCTCATCTTTTGCAGAGGACCTGGGTTTGTCTCCTAGCGCTCACATGGTGGTGGCTCATAACCATCTGCAGACACATGGGGTACATATACACACTTGCAGACAAAATACTCACATGCATAAAAATTTTAAAGTCATTTTTTTTCCTATTTTTCAGGGACTTACCATGCAAAGTTGGCTGGCCCTGAACATGTGGCAACCCTCCTGTCTCAGCTTCCCAAAGGCTCAGATTATGGACCATACCCTGGCACAGGTCCTCAGATTTTGTACCACTTAAAGAAGCAGGAATGTCCTTCTTTTCTTTTTGAGATGCTATGAATTGAACTTAGGGTCTCGTATATGCTAGGCAAGCACTGCACCACGGAGTTATATTCCCAGCCCCCAATTTTTTCAGTTACATTTATTTGTTTTCGTGAGTGTGTGTGTGTGTGTGTGTGTGTGTGTGTGTGTGTCCCATGCATACCATGGTACATGTGGAGGTCAGGGAACAACTTTCAGGAGTTGGTTCTTTCCTTCTACCATAATGGATTCCAGGGATCAAATGGAGTTCATCAGGCTTGACAGCAAGCACCTTTACCCCTGAGCCATCTCCATGGCTCCCCGTTATGATTTTATTAAAATGTATGCATATACTCATGTATGTGCATTTGTGCATGCTTGGGAACATACTCATATCCCTATCATGTACATACCATGTCACAGGGTGGAGGTCAGAGGACAACTTTTAGGAGGCAGTTCTCTGCTTTCACCCAGCAGAGGCAGTATGTCTCTTGTTCCTGTCACAATCTGTCCTCTAAGTTAAGTGGCCCTTGAGCTTCCAGGTCTCCTGTCTCCACCTATTATTTCACTGTAGGAGTGCTGGGATCACAGGCTCATGCCACCACATCTGGCTCATTTACAAGGGTCACAGGTATGGAACTCGGGTCATGAGGTTAGTATGGCATGAACTTTTCACTGGGTGAGCCGATGAGCCATCTCACAGGTTTCTGTTCTATTGCCTCCATCAAGAATGCCAGCTGAGCGTTAGTGGCACACGCCTTTAATCCCAGCACTCAGGAGGCAGAGGCAGGGGGATCTCTGTGAGTTCGAGGCCAACCTGGTCTTCAGAGAAAGTGCCAGGATGGACTCCAAAGCTACACAGAGAAACCCTGTCTCAAAAAAAAAAAAAAAAAAAAAAAAAAAAAAAGAAAAGAAAAGAAAAAGAAAAGAAAAAAGACAGGCCTTGAGGGATCCCATCGGACCAGACAGAATGACATCACACTGGGGAAAGGTTCATTTTTGTCCTTGAAGGTACTTTTACTTTTTTGGAAAATAAGTAGCTGGGTATAGTGGCTGATTGTGGCTATCTATCTCTCTACCCTACTATGAAATGCCATCCATGTCTCTGAGATTTCAGCACCCAAAGTCAGTCCTCTGCAAGGAGCAGGGACACCCCTCCTGGGAAAGTTCATGAAGGCAGTGATGTTCTTTCCTAGTGAAGAGCAAGTCCAGGGAGGGTGTGTTTTATAAACAAAGCTCTCACAGACCCTCCAATGAGCTGATCAGATATTTAGATGACCCTCTGTCTTGCTTCTAGAAATCCTCAGCTCCTCTTCTCCACTGCTGTTTTAACCAGGGTTAATTACTGTAACAAATACATAGAACACTGGCTGTCTAAAAAGAAAAGGTTTCTTTGGGCTCTGTTTCTACCAGGCCTGTGTCAGGGAAGCACATCATGGAGGGAGCACATGGCAGAGTGAAACTGCTCACAGAGAAGACTGGCTCTCCAATCGCTTCACGATCTCCTGCCAGGTCCCATCACTTAATAAAGTTGCCACAGCCTCCCAATAATGCCAAGTTGGTGCCCAAGACTAACACATGAGCCTTTGGGGTGCATTCCAAATGGAAACTGTTACCTTAGGTTGAATGCCAGCTCAGTTACCCTGACTTCAGAAAGACACTTGTAGCTTCTTCCTTGGTAAGGGTTAAACATCTGGGAAAAAGCTCCAGACAGCCTCAGGAGCTGCCTGAGTCTGATTCCACTTTCTTGCTCTGGGACCTTGGACAATTCCCTAGTCCCCCTAATCCCACCATTTCTCATTTTCCTTACCTGCAGAATTCAGATAAAAACAAAGTCTCTCCAGAGGTGGTGGCTGTTTTGTTTTGTTTTGTTTTGTTTTGAGACAGGGCATCTCTGTGTAGTCCTGGCTGTCCTGGAACTTGCTCTGTAGACCAGGCTGGCCTGGAACTCAGAGCTCCATCCGTCTGCCTCTACCTCCTGAGTACTGGCATTAAAGGCATGTGCCACCACAGCCCCACCCCCTCACTGGTGAGTCTAAAGTGATTTCATTTGTGTACACTGTGAAATACAATGCCTGGCAAATTGTTGTTGTTGTTATTATTCTTTTGTGGTGATAGTGATTGAACCCAGGTCTCTGAACACACCAAACATGTATTTCACCACAGCAATGCCCCTACTCTCCCAATTGTTAATGGTGATTTACTTCCCAATGTTAACTCAGTCTTTGGTACTCAATATTCTTCACCTAAACTACGTTTCCTTTTCTTTGGTTACCTTTGATGAATTTGCTCACTATTTCAGTTCTTCTCTTTTTTCTTGCCCACCTTCTGCCCCATTCCATAAAGGCAAGGAACACACATGACACCGTATCTGACTATCCTATATTCACTGCTAGGGAACCAGCAAAGTAGGTTTCTTTGGAAACTGAAGCAATGCTCCATTTTTCTAGGTCCTCTCAGTGCTTTCTTGAGGGGAACGGGGTGCAGTGGAGGTGAGGTGGGGTGGCAGGAGTGGGAGGGTGGGAAGAGTGGAAGAATTCGAATATGAATAGGCTGGGGGTGCAGCTCGGTTGGTGAGACTGATTGCATGGTAGAGCAAGCACAAAGTTTTGAGTTTCAGCCCCAGCACCACATAAAACAGTCAAATAGTTGCACACCTGTAACCCCAGCACTTGGGAGGTAGAAGCAGGAGGATCACACATTCAAGATCCTCCTTGGTTACACATGGAGTCTGAAGTTAGCCTGAGCTAAATGAGATCTTGTTCATCTGGGTGTGGTGGCCTTTAATCCCAGCACTCAGGAAGCAGAGGCAGGTCATCTCAGAGTTTGAGGCCAGCTCCAAAGTTTTTGGCTTCAGTAGAGGCAGGTAAGGGCCATGAAGTGGTAAGGGTGGCTCGCCACACCTAATCATTCATGTGAGACTGAGTGATCTCGCTTGATGAATAGGTTTAAGTGGCCTAAGAAGCAAGTTCTACTTCATCCTGTCTTTATTTGCTTGTAAAGGAGCCAATTAGTGTTAATTGTGTTGGCAATTTGAAACAGCCACCAGGGAACTGATCCAAGGCAATTGTGGGATGACCCCTCTGTCCCATCCTAGTCCCAGCCATTACTCATGTCAGATGGGGGAACCAGAGCATTAGCAAATGTCCTCTGGTCAGAGGGAGTAAGTATATGTTTCCCTTTTCACACACCTAGTGACCTGGATGTCAGTTTTTAATATTGCACAGGCAGTGACCTGACAATACTTGTGTACCAAGGAGTATTCGTAGGTGTAGGTTGATCAGCACTGGATACATGAGATACAATTAACAGAGGAATGTTCACAGCCTTCTTTCTTCCTTTCCTAACAGGCCAAAGGCTATCTCTCCTTTACAGTCCAATTTCCTATTCCCACCAGTGGCAGCTAAATCAATCTATTTAATAAGGAAGGAGGAGGGGGGAGGCTTGGGAACAGACCAGGATGTGGAATGTCAGATAACTGGAGGGAAGAAAGAGGGATATGAGTTTTATTGCTGGGGTTATTAATTTGATCACCTTTAATGTCCTTGGAGAGTCATTAGTAGCGATGGAATTTATATTATTTACTCATTTTGCTTAACGGACTGCTCATCTTTAAACATGACATGGCTCTTGAGGCACCTCTCATCAGCGCTTCACCAGTACTGACCCAACGACAGAAAAGGAGTGCAGAAATTCTGACAAACACTGTCTATAGAACTGTTCCGAGACAGGGTGGGGGTGGGTAAGGGGTGGGGTGGGGAGGGAGGGGACTGGGTTTGGGCTAGGTTTATCGGCCTTGAATATGCAAACTCTAAAACTTCCCCATTCTTTTGTGTTTGATGACTAGTAGATTGATTGTACAAGGTGCGCTAGGTTTTATGAGTTTTGCTGAACAATTCCCCTGCCTTGCTGCCAACTTGGTTACAGTTGCTTAAGTACAGTAGCTATTCCTGCCTCTGTGGCCTCCAGGGCTAAAGTGGGACAAGGCTGGTATTTTTGGCGATGAGAAAATCCTTTTAAGGGAGGTTTTGGTGGTGACTGAACTGGGACACAGGTTAGAGTAGGGATCCCATCGGCGAACCAGGGGCCGTCGGGGGTTCTGGTTCTGGGGGGTCTTATCGCGTATCCCTACCTCGCTAGGCGCTGCGGAAGCTTAGAAGTTACTGCAAACCCTGGACGCTTTCACTGTCTGTCCCCAGACGGGGGCACTCGGGAGCCGGCGCCTCAGGAACAGGGAGCCACGCGGGAAGGTCGAGTTCGCTCGGTGAGGTCACGGTTGCCATGGCTCCGGGCAGTG